TAAATTGCATATACACATAAAATGTTTATTTTTATGAGATACTTATAAAATAAAGATTATGTAAGTGTTTCTAAAAAATTTATAGATGAATTAATTTCGATTAAACAATTGATCACCAAAAATATTTGCATACAACATATCAAAGCCTCTGATATAATAATATTTTAATATAATAATATTTTATGCCTGTGTATAATAATTATGTTAATCAATATGCTTATATTAATAAATCAATAAGCATGTACGTCAGTGAATCCAATGAGAGATCTGAATTTCACATTACATATATATATATTAACGGATTTCCCATAATATATACAATTATATTATCATATTGAATGTAAACCAATCTCGTAATGGAAACAGCAATGAAACAATTCAGATTTAACAACTTATTTTTGTTATTCAAATATTTAATAATATTGCGTTTATGTTTCTATAATTTTTATTCAAAAAGATTCGACATTTTTTTATAGACTTACTTTGTAAAATAAATTTATTTGTACAGTTTTTCTATGACTTTTAAGAGTGATACTTATATCGGAAATACTCGTAATAAAATAGAACGTACAATACACTCTCGAGAATTTACATAATCATTTCTGGAAGCTGCATGAAAAAAAAAAGAGAAAGAGAGGAGTCTGCTCGCGATGCAAAAATTTATACGAAGCCAGCGCGTTCGTAAAACCAACGGCGAAATAATGTAAAGGGATTTTCCTAGACGAGAAAAAAGGAGAGAAAGAGAAAAACTCTCCAAAACGCGCTCTTTTTCCGCAAGCAGTAGACGGTGCAAACAACTTTGGCGAACGATAAAAATATGCCGGATAAAGTTTCGCGTTCGCAATTCTTGGTGCGCGTTCAGCGGAAAACTGGTTCTAGCTCATTACAGATTCACGACCCAATCAAGAATGAATAAACAAGAGAAGTCTGCCTACGTCCTGTTTACAATCTAACTCGAGGCAATAGAGCAACATTGTTGGCTTATTCGCACAATGAAGACTTCAAAAGTACGTTTTTTGAAGTTTGCCAGAATTTGTCGAGGTTGACGTACGATAATCTTTTCCAGAATTTCTTGAGATTAATTATTTGTTTGTTACCGATTCTTTTTATCGTGGCAAAATTTTGAAAATTCTTTTATTCCATATATTTTCTTCTATTCTATATATTCTACATATTTTCTTATTTCGCGTGCGAATATAATTAAAAATTGACTTGAGTTTTGCCTTTTGCAAACGTTCAGTTTTTATTAACGTCAATTAAAAATTTTGTCAATTAAAAGATGATGAAAAAGTTGAATTGATAACATAAGAATAACGAATTATATAAATAGTAAAAAATTAAATTATTTATAACGAAATTTATCATTTTATTTTACAATACACAATTCTCGAATACCATCAAAAGTTGTGCCAAGAATAAAATAAAGAAGATATGTATGGCTCTTGGACTCATAATGATCAATACTATTTCGTTCTGAAGAGTCCTTTAGACGTTCATCTAAAACTGCGCTAGTGCATTTTCCTGGTGCATAAACATAAGGCTCCATTGTAAATTTTGTTTCCAAACTGTATTTGCTTACGAATCTGCAATTCATGTGTCACTAGCTGCGTTATTGCATTGCGTTAGTCCACCTATGTGAGGCGACAAAGTCATACGTCGCGAAATTAAAAAAAAATGTGACATTTAAACGAATAAAAAAGTTCAATATTGCGAAATTGTTTTTTTTTTTTTTTTACGTAACTTATCTCGCAAATACGTTATTTTTATTCGCAAAAATCAATTTTAACTTTTATCTTCAAAAATATGTCATCTAAAATTTAATCAAACTTTGTTTATAATTTTAATTCAGTTACGAGAAAAGAATTTATACGATTTATCTTTGTATATTCGCGGAAATTTGACTGAAAGCTACGAAAGCAAAGAGATTGTGCCTTAATCCTCGGCCTCGCATTTTTCATATTTTATTTCCGTGCATATATAAGACGAGCATATAAGGAAAGCACCATGAATACCAAGAAAACTTCGTCTTCTACACAATTGGAGTCAATTATGATCGATGTAATGCATTTTTCTAAATCGATCGTTCGAATACAAAGCGGAGCGAGGTTGAAGGCGCATTCTTCATCGTTATATTTGTGCAAACGCGACATCGTAAAGGAGGAATCGCGAATGCTCGTCGTCGGTCTGACTATGTCGACCTATTCGTTTTCGTGCACTTCTACTTTTGGAAAAAACTACTGACACCGCCGGTTGGACACGATAAATTACCGCGGGGACAATGGGCCCGAGTGCTCTCCGTGAATTTCCCTTATCACAACGCACGTGACCGAGTTTGCTCGTAACACCGGTATATCTCGAAAACAAAATCCTCTAAAAGAGAGAAAAAGAAAGCAGAAAAACAAACAGAAAAAGAGAATCATTACGAAAATTTGCAACACTCGTAGCGCTTCTCATCTGGAAACCTTAGGATAGTTTCAGAAAGTATCGATGCTTTTTTCTCTTTTTCTATCAACAACTGGATATATATTTTTAATACCGAACTTTATCTTTGCAAAACATCGATATTGTTATTATTCTAATAAAACTAAGATTTCGTCGGAAATATAAATAGAATCTATGAATATAATTACATCATTAAAATGTATATCAATCGCTAACATCAAGACACTATCTATCAGAATAAGCATGATAAAAATAATACGCATCAACCGCATCAACCGCATCACCGCAAAAATAATATATTCTATTTTCGACACGCAGCGATCGTACAATGAATGCTTTGAAAACATTTTTGAAAAGTTGTTTGCAAACTGCATTGAATGTTGTTACGATAGAAAATTCAACATAGTAGTTTCACAATTTCGGGATTGTAATATGAATATTTTCAAAGTCGAAAATAAAACGAAACAAATTTAAAAAAAAAATGTATGAAGAAAACTTGTGATTAAAATATTTTTTTCGTCTTTACTAATATATAATCGCGCATGTGTCTTTGGAGTTAATTTTATTACTTGTACATGTATAGGTATACGCACTTATACATTCAACCGCAAAAAAATTGGATTGGTTACAATATTTTTATTCCCGATAGAGAGTTTGTCCATATTGCGTGCAAATTTACTTAACCTTTCAGTCATTTCATCTCGATCACAATTTTCGCATCAAATACCATTTTGATGATGCATCGCGCGCACGCGGTCGCGTTTTATTTTTTTTTTCTTTTTATCACGATATCAATAATTTAATATCTCGGAAATTGATTCCCGTAATCGCGATTTAATACGTCGCATTGATATTTTCTGCGCGTAACTAGACCGCGTTCAGTTGATCGCCGATCGCATCACCGGATGAATTTATTAACGTCGTTTATTAGGAAAGATTATGCGGTCACGTTATAGTGAATGAATTAAAATGGTTCTATCCGCCAGCGAAAGTGTAACGTGCAAAATTATCTTATCTAGATCAATAGGCTATAAATTATCGATAATAATAACGATCTACTACAATTTTCTGAATGAATCACGCGAATTTTTCATAAATTTCTCACAGAATATTTGAGTAAGCTGTTGTACGATTTATTTAAAATAATGAATACGTCTGCAACGCAATACATGATATAAAATAAAAATAGATGTTTGAAAACGGAATGAAGTACGTATCGATACGTGTTTTTTAACGATTTTCTCATCGATTTACGACGATTTTTTATTCGAGTGGAGTCAATAACAGATATAATAGGGATGCTCGCACAATGACGCTAGTGAAATGGAACATTAAAGGCACAATTTATGATAAAAGTGCAATGCGTATCGCTATAAGCATTGATTCCGACGCGGAGCGAATGGAGTCGCGAATGAATAGAGTCTCTAGAAGTGCGAAACACGCGCAGATAAATGGAAAAGACTACTTATTGAAAATTTATCTTGAATACTTTTTATAGCTGCTTCTTTCATTCAATCCAATATATATCTGTAAAATATAATGATGAATATTGAAAAGCTTTGCGAGAAATTGCTAACCATAAAAATGCCGGTAATCTTAAGAAAAAATTGACTCCAATTGAATCTATCAAACATTATACAGATGGAAGAATCTGCTAATAATAAAATTACTTCTTTCAACGATGATGAAAAAAAGATTTTTCTATAAATTTGACATCTCCACAGTTCAATATAATAACAAGTTCAATATAATAATAAGCTATTTTATTGTATCATTATATTAGTCAATTTCATCATACTTAGAAATGCAAATTTTAGTTAACAAAAGATGTAAAATACATGTCAAGTGCATACGAAAGTATCCAAACTCGCACACAACAAATATTTTATATTATTTTAAGTTGCTATTTAACATTGTACTTTTATTTATCGCTATTGTACTATTATTTACATTAAAGGCGAATTTTTTGGAAAATGTGAACACTTGTTACGAATGTACTATGCGAAAGAAATCGCCAGCGTGTAAGCATGTATGCTTAATTTAATTGCATACGTTAGCGCGGCCTCAATCGCGATATTTTTGCCGGTTCGTAATTACGAGGACGGGGAAAAATTACCAGCAAGAATGGCCGGAAAATGGTTGCGATAGAAACGGGATGAAAGAAGAGAAGCACAGAGAGCGGATAATGACTCCGTGGTGCGCGCTTTTCCGCGATATCTGTACCCAGTTAGATGGTACCTATGCATTACACTTTGTGTAATTTTCTAAATTATTGTCGGGAATTTGTTTGGAGCTAGCGCTGGCCGTGCGGGCCACTCGCTTGAAAGTCGGACTTTCATTTTCGCTTGAATTAATCGGTCAAAATGTCGCGTTCAATTAATTACAGTCGTCAAATCGAAGAAATGTAAGAGATATCGCTTGGTAAATTGTATTTCGAGAAACATTTTTCAAAAAGCATCTGGGACAATCAATAATTTGTTCGAGATACATAAAGTTAAAAGATCAGTGGATATTCAAACGCGTAAAAATAATATATCGATTGATTTCTCCTTTTGTAGGTTTGCGACTGCCTGGGAGTCAGCAAGGAGTGCGATTACTTTGGGTTAAAGTATCAAAATGCGAAAGGCGAGGAGCTCTGGCTGAACCTAAGGAACCCTATAGAACGGCAAACCGGCGGCGGCGTGGCGCCTCTAAGATTCGCCCTGAGGGTTAAGTTTTGGGTGCCGCCTCACCTGTTGCTACAAGAAGCTACCAGGTAAGGAAAATTAATTCACGCGAGCTGCGCTTATTTTTCCGAATATACTTATCGCGATCGGAATATTTTAATCTCTTGAGAATTTCTTTATATTATTTTGGCAATTATTTAAACAACTATAAAACATAGAATCTATACTTTTAAAGATTGCACTCGACGCATCTTTTAATCGAAAAAGGTTGATTCGATATATCTTCGTATAATTTTCTACGACACGATAATTCGAGAAGATAAAGCTTCTATTTTGCATTTACGGTCTTTGATCTTGGCCTTTGAGGAGACGAAGGGATCGAAAGGGATTTACATGCAATCTCATGAGCATCTCAAAGAACCAATGTTCATTATTCTTTCACAGTCGATTGAAATGAATGGATAGTTTACACGCTCTATACGATAGACGAGTAATCTTTGCGATTGATTGACTGTCATCGCCAATATAATTTCAAGCGGAAACTTATTTCAAAATTCATTATGATAATTATGCATAGCGAAATTAAATCTTGTAATAAAACTTAATATCATGATTGATGTTGCAATAAAATTATTCGGGAAGGAATGCTCTTAATCCTTGATAGAGCTCTTAATCCGAATGTTCTCTTTTTTTTCTCTTAATAAATTTCTAGTATCGTTAACTAAGAATGAGACGAATCTTCATTTGCCATCGTCGCTGCTTCAATTACAGAAAATTTGCATCGTCTTCGAGACCTCTCTATCCTATCAAATGGAATTCCTTTTATTGATCCTCGAATATTTATACCGGAAGTTCATTTCGAAACTCAATTGAAAAAAAAAAGTTGCACATAATAAATTTAGTTTAGTAAATTTCGTTATATAATTATAAATCTCCTTGATAGAAGAGAAACACGAATATATGGTGCCATACTCCATTGCAACTTGCAACGTAAAAGGGCAAAAGTCTGATTGTATTTGAAAATTAGTATCCGGTTATATAAATATAAGTACGAAATGAGGAAATGTCTCGGGAAATATATCGTCGCGGGTATTCGGTCGGGAAACAACAACTCGTTTTGTTTGAAGTTCTGATTGGTTCGTTACCGCGGCGCGTATTCAAAGCGAGTGCCACGAACTCTCCGCAGCGTAGTTGCGAATTGCGTCCGCTGTAATCTGTCGCACGGATGTACTCGTGCGAATGGCGAAAACGAGACACGGAGAGAGAGAGAGAGAGAGAGAGAGATAGATAGACCTTCGTCCGAATTGAAAATCGTTTCCGCCGTAAAAATTCCTCTCTCGGGGAGAGTCGGAGAGTAAAAACAAGAGGAAGAAAGGGAGAAGAGCGCGGCGAGAGATAGAGAGAGAAACGCTTGTGCAATCAGCTGGATTCCTTGGGCGCGATCCATCGATCCCCGAGCGGGCACGTACGAAATTGCATGCTGCCGTCGCCGCGAGGGTACTGATTGCATCCGGCGATATTGTGTATGTGTGTGTTGAATGTGTTTTCGTGCGTGCGCGGTTGTAAAGGCGACGCTTCTCTCTGCGGCTGAAATATATACGCGATAAATAATGTTATGCACGGGATGCGCCCTGTTACTATGTCGATGCGATTTATTTTGAATTATTTGTGGCATTTGTATCGATGCCGGTGCATCTACGTGATATTCCACGATGTAACTATACCGCTATGCAATCGCTGCGCGAAATTGGATCGATAAAATAGATAAGCCATTTAAAGAGAATCTAAAGAGAAATTTCGATTTTTTAAATAAATCATAAACATTTGTCGACTAACTTGGACAATGCCAAATGCTGATTATCTTGCGATTATCAAATTTCGAAAAATGACAATGTATTTTTGCTCTCTTTACTCGAAATATTCGTGATTCCATGGTACGTTCAGATGGAAATATTCCGAACACGATGATCGAGTAACGACTCCATGTTCGACTTTGTGTTCAAAAGTTTTCAGCAAATCAACGCAATTAAATACTGTCTAGGATTGTAATTAATTGCGCGAGGCGCTGCCCACAAATTTCGATGGATCGAAACGTAATTCCAATTTAATCGCAGTTGTTCGAATTATCGCGTAAAGTCAAATGCGTAAAGAGTAATGAGTCTGTCGTGCGAATTAATTCATCGGCGGAATTGCGATACTGCAGCTATAATTGCTCCAGCTGACGCGACAAACTCTTTCGCTATCTAGCTATTCGTCAGATCTGCAGCGCATTCATTGCCTCTTCAGTATGTTTTTGAACCAAATATCCGATAATGCACATAATCTATACAAGCGTTGCAAAATCCTCCTCTTGTGACAAAATATTTATAAAAAAAATATACTTCGCTACAAATTTCAATAAATGTATAAATAAAAGAGAGAGAAAATATATTGTGTTTATCTATAGTTAAGTACTATGATGAGTTTGCCTCGGTTTGTCCGATAATTGCATACGATACCGCAAAATTAATTTATAGGTCAGATAACATAGTTAGGATTTAATTGCGTTATCTCGATGCCGCATCTCTAATTTATTCGAGAAAAGAACGGATATATATATAAAGGACATGAAAGTGCTATCGAAGTTTTGTGAAATCGATATATAGGTTATTCAATATAGAAGATATTAATTTACATGTGTAATATCATTATTAATATAAGTGTTGTGGAAAGCGATCCTATTTTGATCCTGTTGTAGTGTCTGACCAAGCAATGCCGAGTGTTTATTTTTATATCGCAGTATTCTCTTATTTTTATTTCACACACTATTATTACGAATCGACAAAATGACTTATAACTGTATGTATAATTATTTGTAAGACAGAATTAATAGTTATTTACATTTTGTTTTCATGCTTATTCAAGGAATTTTGAATATACTTAAACTACAAAAAGCATTTTAAAAAACCATGAAAACGTAAAATATAGCAAAATGAGAATAATGAGTTTTTTTCGGAAACACACACATATATATAGATACACACACACACACACACACACGGATACTTGATCATCATATTTCATCGTAGGATATAAATCACAGAGTTACCTCTCGTCAATTATTTTACACCATCGATTTTGCCTGTGATTTATTGATCTACATTTTTTATCGAAAAGAAAAGAAAAAAAACAATTTTTCTCTGATTGTGAATTCGAACTTTGTACGACGTAGAAGCTTCGCACCGACGGACAGACTCATGTTTGATTTATCGACGATATACATTTCGCGTTTGCAACGATGCGACACTTTACTGTCACATTCTGTCCATAAATTTTGAGAAGATACACATGACAACTCGTTATTGTCGCATCAAATAATCAATGATTGAGAAATGTACATTACAAATTATCACACTAATATTTCATGATTGACATGGGAATAAAAGTTAATAAATATAGAATAATTAAATTTCTGTAATAATGATTCGCTCTGAGAGGAATGTCATTGTTTGCTCGCATTTATTTTAAATTTGCGTTGTAAGTAAATTGGAAAACGAAATTCTGTCGCTCAGCTTTTATTAATTCGTCTTGCATTTTCACATTTAGCGAAATGTCGTCACTGGGATCGTCTATCATACATTATAATGGCGAAAGATCGTCGCAGCCATTTCTTCCGACTACAAAGTCGGTGGACGTTGATAAAGACAAAGTGTTTCCGTATCCGAGGCAGTCGGAACTCATAGTTATCTGCAGAATTACAACTGCGACTTTTCATAAGAATATCGCATACCGTATAACACGCGAATCGTTTGTCATTTCGCTCGTGTAGTGAAAAGATTTGCGTTCGAAGAGAAAAACTTGCAACGTGAACATTAGGATTACGACACCGTTATTTACCGTTAGTCATCATAAAAACAACGTCATCGTAAAAATAATATATGTTTTCAGTAAATTTACGTATTTAAATAGATGTCATAGTTTATGTGCTTGTCATAAATATTGCGATATCTCTAATATGCAAAATCTCTAATATCAAGTTTTCGTAAAAATTTAGTTACACGTAAATAAATATTTGAAAAATTGTAAACTGCATTCTAGTAACGAATCGTGGATAATAATTATAAATTATTATTATTATTTAACTTTTAGACATGAATATTTAATTATTAATTATTAATATTTGGAAATTTAATTGAATATTTTAACATGTTTATATAAATTTATATAATTATATAATTGCAGGCATTCTGTGTTGTTGACATTTATATTATTCCTATTGCATAGGAAATCGCACATTGTATTATTATAAATAGCTTGATATTTACCTTCACAATCTACATGTTTCAAAGTTTATATTTTGCTGGCACTTTATCCGTTAGCCAAAGTCCACAGAATTCAATTTTAAGAATAGAATTAGAATACAAACAGTCGATTTTGCGACTAATATGCCAAGATGTATGATTTCCGATTTTTATATTTAGAATCATTGTGAATAAAAATCTGAATACACTATATATATATATATATATATATATATATATATATATATATATATATATGCGTATGCAATGCTAAAATTTATAATATTCACATATCAAGATCTGTGATATTGATACTAAGATCCTAAATTGACAAAGGGCGTAAAAATTTGATTGCTTGTTTCAATATAATAATCCAAAAAAAATTTTTTTTTCCCGAAAGATAGCTACAATTTTTTTTGTAACGATGAAAAATAAATAGAATAAAAAATAAAATATATGACGCCCTCATGCGGATATAAAAAAACCAATAACGCATGGGGCAAGAAACAGTCGTTTTTGTATCGTGCGTATATTGGCGGAAAAAATATGGTTTGCCTCTAAAATTACGTTCTCTACCGTTGAGCATCATTTGTAATGGAAAAAAATCGCTGGTGTAGCATATGTTACATACGTAATAAATTGAAAATTTTATTTTTTGTCTTCTCTTTCTTTAGATTTTAACTCCCTTGAAAGAAAAGAAAAATGTCGTTATCGATGCGATGTCACAGAATGAGAATGTTACAAAATAAGAAAACAAAAATTCGAATTTATTACTTGAGCAATTGGACGAACTGTCTCGATATGTTCCAAGTGTGATATTTGCGATGTGATAATATGCGATGCGCATAAATATGAGTTTACAAGAGTCCAAGAAAGTCAAGACATTAAAAAACTCGTTGGAGTTATTTGAAAATGTTGTAAGAAAAACGAGCGATCAAAATTTACGGTTACATATGCAGGAATTGTTTCGACTATTGCTTATTATTATTTTATTTTATATTATTGTTTTTGTAAATTTGATAAAACTTTTTTTTCGGCTGAATTCTCTCAATTATATAGTATTCATGATAATATTTATTATGACAGCATTAATATAAGCGCGTAACACAGATATATATTCAATAAAATTTTGCTCAGTAAATCGGATTTGACAAAATAAAGAAAGAAATATAAAATTGATTAAACGAGCTATACTTAACAATCGATTTCATAGTCGACCAATAATTGATTAATGAATATAGTTTTATGCTTTACAAATCTTTAATAATCCACGCTAATTTTTCAACAACAATCAATTATCTCGCACAATAGATTGAATAAAGATTCATTCACAATTATTTACGCTTTCATGAAAAGATTGAAAATAAAATGTTGGAAAAATAAAAATTATTGTCATTTGTAAATAGTAGTTTAAAATGTGAAAGAATATTACGTTTATATATATTTATGCTGTTATTAATTAAATAATCATTGAAGTGCTAGGAACGTAAGTTGTAAAAGGCAGCAAAACCGTAGATCTCTCTTTCGAAACGTTGTGCGAGTGTTTTACAACGAGCTTTTCCACCCATTGCGAAAGTTCAACTTTTTCAGTTCGGTTTTTCTTTTGTCAGCAACTCCGACCCCGATTTCCTTCGCCAATTTTCAGTATGAAGCAAAACTCGCCACCGATTTTTCAAAAATAGAGAAAAGAGAGATCGGAAAGCGAATAACGCGCATTGAAAACGCATGTGTATTAATAAAAATAAATTCGCGATACAAAGAACGTACATTCAGGTAAAAATAATTGCATGCAATATCAAAAAAATTGGATTGAAAAAATTTTCTTTGAAAATAAATGCGCGATGAAAAGGACAATATCAAAAGAGTGAAAGAATGAAAAAAGAGAAGAAGCAATAATATGTATCGTATACATCGTGTATGTTAAGAAATTATATGACAATAACATAGGACATAATTGATGGAGGACATAAATGAAAGATGAGTCATTTTAGTAATACAAATTAAAATTTATCACGATATAAAAATGCATTGTTATAAAATATCTTTCGTCAATGATACTATTGATGCTTAGCAGCGTCGAAATATTTCATCAGACATATTCGCTAACGAGAAATGTTATTTCCTTTCAATTTTCTCGTGAAAATTTATTAAACATAGATATTCATGAAGCTTCATGTTGGAAAACAATAAAGGAGAGAATTTAATAATTACTTAATTAATAAAATACCTGGATTTTGTGCAGCAAGGAAACATTAAATTTAAATTTGTATATTAAAAGCTTTTTATTAATAACTGTCGGAAGAAAATTTCTTAAACTTACGAAAGTTTCCGATTAATTATTATATCCCTTAAATGTACATTTTCGTTAAAAATAAATAAGCGCGCGCTCTCTCTCTCTCTCCCCTCTAATTGTATCATTTCCTCTGTTTCCGCAGTTAAATTCATTACGACCATGAAATATATAATGACTCTCTCGCAACTTTTATAATTATGTGTAACTCGCACTATAAATTTCTTGCCGAGAGCCGCATGTTTTTCGAATCAATTAAATTACACATCAACTTGTTCTCGATTTATTAGAAAATATAAAACTTGGATCACGCGTTAATACATTTACGACTATGTGTTAGGGGCACATTTCCGAGTACTATCCTACTTGCACGGGGCGGAAGACATTTGTCTCTGGCTGTGTAGGAAAGGTGGCGAAACTCGCAAGCGACCAGGCAGGTTCATTAGCGAAGGATGGCATAATTCAGAACCAGCTGTTTGTGTAAATCAATCTTGCCAGGTAGCAGACTAAAAACTTAAACACGCGTCGCGCGCATAACGAGAAATTAAATAATTAAAATAATATTACATTATCATGAGATAAGTTTTAAAATATATTTTAATTTAATTTCATGAATGTTATTTGTGTTAATTGGCCAGGCTTTATGTTTAAATTTATTGTTTCACATTTGCCGGAACGTTCCAAATTTGTATAAATTTTAACAAGCAAATACATATACGTAGTGCACGTAAAATAATGATAAAATAAAATTGCGAAAGAGAAAGCTAAAATATTCGTTACTACGCTGCCAACGGGTAAAAAGCGCTTTGCACGTCATGAAAATAAATTTATATGCGCTCAAGCATTATTTAATCGTCATTTAAAGTAGATTCTACAAAGATATGCCGCATCAATTACATAATTGATACGTTAAACTTAAGACAAATAATGTTCTCATCTCGCTGCTGAAACTTTATTTTTCTCGAGTTTGCAGACTTTCTCTTTCTCTCTTCCTCCGCGACAGTTGCTTTTGTATAACTTTCAAGAGTTTGGGGGGGTAAAGTATCGATCGTTTTCGAACGAGCGGGTTACTGGCGCGCAGTTCATCACACTATATCGTTTTCGTGGTGAACGGCTTTACGAATGAGGAACAAAAATAGTAAGACCGTTAACTCAGGAATGGATTACCGTTTCTCTCTACCAAAAATATATCCAAGGAGATTTCGTATACTAATCTTTATGAGAAATTAATATATTCAGATTTTATTCTTGTTAGTCTTTTTTAAAATTGCTTTTTTAATTTTTTTAACACATTTTTAACAGAAGATGTAAATTAAATTCGGAATATGCGCGAATAAAGCAACTATTGCATTAACTCACTTTTTTATTGTGTTTTGTTCCCTCGAAACTTATACCGCGCCATATCTCTCGGGAAAGGGGAAGATAACTTGCTGACATATCCTGTGAGAATATTAAGTTGCGAAATTACGTGTTTTATCCTTCGGTGTGTAGCTTAATTTGCGCTATTACGCTTATTATTATATAATGATGAAGAGCCGAGTGGTGAAATAAAGAAATTGATTAGAAAATTGCGAGGCGGCTCTGCAACTCGGGATACATATCAGTAATTCATTGTTATCACAACAGTGGCCATATATCTGGACCAAGTCAAGCTCGAAAAATTTTATTCGCTTGGTACGGAGAGAGAGACTCGAGTCACGCTTTGAATTTAAACGAAAAGAAAATGTAAAATGTTAGTTATGGTAATAGTAATGGTTTGTGTGTACACTTACAGCTTGATGAACCGTGATCCATAAGGGTGTTAAATCTCTTTGTATTATACCATCGCTCTCGTTGATTCACTTCTTTGATCATTTCTCTGAAAATTTAATCCTGGAGTTAATTAAATTATGAGGAAATAATGAATTTAAAATCATATTATAATGAAGCATAAAGAAAAAAAATATAACAAAAAAACGAGACAAGAAAATAGAAGTTTTCATTTTTTCAATAAAATTTTTAAAAACTTTTATTGTTGAATAAAAATGTAATTTAAAACAATTTTTATTGTTGAATAAAAATGTAATTCTGCATAGAGCTAATTATTGAATATTAAATTTTAATAATGCAAAGATTGCGTGCTATGAGGAGCAAATATTTGATTAAATGTTTTGAATTGATTTATTACTTCAGTTAATTAATTTATATTATAATTTATAAATATATAAGAGAATTTAATAATTTATAAATGTATAAGAGAGAGACAAAATGTAAAATTTAGCTTTTTCATATATGTATATATATATATATATATATATATATATATATAAATAGAATCATTCCATATATGAAATAAAGATTTTATATTTGTTTTTTATAATATATGTATAAAATAAAAATGTTACAGTCGCGCTATTTATTCGAGTTTCGATCTCTATTGACTCAATGAGACGTACAAAAGTATCTGTTTCTCGTTGTAAAGAACGTCGTAGTTCACATCAGTAGCCTTACTACTACTGATACTGCGACTCTTGGTCGATTGTCACCAAGATAGAAACATGCTTTTATAGATCCTTTTACATGCTTTGTGTACTGCTGGCAGTTAACCACCTGCGAGTATCGAAAATGCCATGCACAGCGATCGACTGTGAAGTATGTGTACACTTGTGATTTATCGTTGTTCGCATTTTGCCAGTGGCTATATAGTTGCATCGCGCGCTTTCAATTTTATCCAGCTCCACAATACATAATGTCAATGCCGCGACGGTATTGTTAGATGGTAGTCATTTACGATCTTAAGAAATTGACAAAAATTGAGCGAAAATTTAAAGAATATTTTTTTTATAAAACGTTAATCTGATATAAATCAAATTAGTAAATCTGATTTGTAATTTGAGAGGCGATTGTAAAAGCCTAGCCGGATTTTTACGCGTTCTTTTGCTGTGAAAAAAACAACTTTTGATAATAACCTTCAAGGAAGAGGGAGGGCGAGCTTCACTCAAGTTTTTTCCTCGATGCTTTTAAAATACCGCAAAGTTAATTACAAGCGATCTCGAGTATGGTAGTTAAATGCTTGGATTTTGCTCCGGTAATTTGTATTAAAAACTTTTTACCTGTCGAGAGAAAGAAAGAGAGAATAATATACCTGCTTATTTTTTTCTTATCTCTTCTTATATCATATTCTTAAAAAAATTCTGGGACAAATTGCTTTGAAAGCGGAGTAAGAGATCGATTTATGCATCGGAGAGTAAATTGCCAGCTCTCAATGAATTTCGTCTTTGAGGGAGATTAGCTTCAAAGGAGGCTTATGGGAAAGGATATAATTAGTTTCTAGGCTAATTAATTAGATAGAGATATCCTTAGTAACGTCATTGATAAGAATTTATCTTAAATTAATTGTTGTTGCATTTGGCACCGTTTCGAATAAATGTAAAGATTACTTTTGTGTGTGTTTCTATTATTCCGAAATCTAATTTACAACATAATACAATATATAAGAGCAGTTCTTTCAAAAATAAGGAAAAAGTGGTGAGTTTGAAACATTGATATTTCACGCGAAGAGATATAAATGAAAACTGGATACAAATAACAAGATTTACTAATAATTATATAATTAATTTTTCAATTTTATTAATTTCGGAATGCATGGACACATCTTGCAATAAGCGTTTTATATCCTGTAAATTATTTTTCTCTAATTAATATGTTGTTGTCCTAATTAATATCATTAACTTAATCGAGCGACTTTAAGTCGATCCTTGAGGATAATGAAAGGACAGCTATCAAATTCGAACTAATTCAAAGTAACCGTAAGTCTGTTCGGCACAGAAATATTAAAAATTAGCAAAACTCATCTTTGGCTCTGCATTTGACGTAAGGGAGAGAAAGAACGGGAAAAAGACGAAAAAAAATGTACAGCGCAGTCGGATGTCGGCTGAGAGCTGCGTTTCGATTTTCGCTGAAACTGGCGTAGAACCTACAGTTGAAGAAGACGAGTAAAAAAGAGAAAATGTGGAAATAGAGAAAGAACAGCGACGCACGTCGCTATAATGGAAAACAGAGCATTCGCTCTCGAGATTTCGTTCACTGTAGACTGTCTGGCATCGCTGGCGTTGTAATCCGACGGTATTACAGCCTCTTGCGACTTGCCTCTCTCTTTGCTTCTATCTCTTTCTGAACCGCGTTATATCTCGGAAAAGTAGTTCCTGAGAAATGTGGCTGCACTAAAGTTTTTCCGGAACGTGCTGTTGAGATTAAGGGGATTTCCTTTAATTGCTCGTGAAAGGATCTCGAGTGTAATGGCTGTGCGGCTGTGCTACGTAATTCCATGGCAATGTAAGCGTAGACGGGCGGAAGGAGAAAATTGTGTAGGATAAACGACGATATAATGAGTTGCATAGTCACTGCAACTGTATTCTTTATGCTACAAATAAATGTTTTCCCGCGTTGTAGATAAATGTAACAGAATTGTATTGCATTTCTATTTGTGTGAAAACATATTTGTTTTCCGATGTGATATTGTAATGTAATCGCACTGTAATATAACAATGTTGTAACGGTAAACCTTATAAGGCTTGCTCGAGAATAAACTATTGCAATATGATCGCATTATGATACATTTGCGATAAAACGAGAACATCGATCATTGCTGATTCTATTTATTTTATAAAAGCTGATACAATATTCGAGCAATGCTAAAATGCGAATAATTTAGTCTTTTCTTATATATCGACTTTTTAAAATATTATTTTCCTCCTTTTAATTGAATTATTTAACTAATATGTTCATTATACGCACGCAATCATATGTGAAAATTCAATTTCTAACATAATATAAATAGATTGAACATATACATATACAAGGAACATATTTAAAAAATTTCATGTCATATTGTAATAAAACGAAAAAAAAGGAAAACGCATATAAATCGAAATTGAAACCTGTTGAATATTCGATAAATTATTGTAAGATATACGCTTTTCTCTCTTGTACTGTTAATTGAAACAATATATGAAATATTATAATAATTCGTATATAATTACCAAGACATTTCTCTCAAGCGTAAAATTATAAATGTTATTTTACAAAAAGCTAACATTATAATAATCGTAATTTGTCGAGTCTAAAATCACATATAGATTAAATTATTAAAAATATTAAGAAAATATAATTTATATAATTCCTCTCTTTGTTATATTTATTGTATATTGTTATATTTTTTACAAATTACATACGAAATAACGAGTCATCGCTTAATATTATAATTTTGATTTTTATATCATATGACTTATTTTTATAAAACGCATATATATTTTTTAATTTTCTTGATTATCCTATAATTTTAGCCTTCTAATAAGAAACCTAAGTTTTTCGACTATTTATATTACTGAATTATCAATGGAGACAATAAGGAAATCTCTTGAAGAAAGCTCTTATTGTTTTTAATTATAGATTTATCGTGTTTTAATGTCTCTTTTAATATCCCTTACGACAACGGTGAAGGATTGAAATTCCGAGTTTGTGAAAACTTGCGCGGTAAAATCGAACGATCTCGCATTGCTCTGGTTTCGGAGTTGAATAGTCCAACTGCTTAAGTCTACCGAATGAATCTGGGGTGGGACGTTACTATCGCGACAGAATTAAGCGGGAGTAATAATAACAATTTCCGAACATTTCTGTAATTCCGGAAATGTTTGCAAATTAGAGATTTAAGTCGAGCGTAACATTACATTAAGAAATCAAACAATATTTGCTATACATTTCGGTTAGTTTTGTACTCTATGTAGAATAAAGTTACATACAAGAAATAAATTTTTTTAATAAACTATTATTGCATGAAAACATAATTCAAAGAAAAGAATTGTTAAGAAGCAAAATGTAAAATTTAATTTATATCTTTATTAGCTACCTAGTAGGTACAACTATTAATTATAAAATTTAATTACTTTGTCTATTTTTGTTCAACATTTAATTTCTTTTTCGTTATTTTTTTACGCGATTGATTTTATTACGTAGCCTGTGATCTAATTTGTCGAATACGCAATCCGAAATGAAATAAATCGAAACACATTTCTCACCGTAATGCAAAGTTGTACATCGTACGAGCTTGTTAATGCGGTTGCAGAGCTTTTTGTAGGTCGAATCGTGGAAGACCGAAATTGCGTGTAAGCTTTTAACACGCAGACGTTCTGACTAAACTCGCGTCGAACAGATAGAATAAATAAATGGATCCGACGGAGAAGACCAAGTGGCGAATACACGAAAAGCGCTTCAAGTTCCGCGGGTAAAAGCCGTACTCGCGATGCTTGTGAGCACTGCAGTTTCGGAGCTTAATTTTGTCGGATAGTTTCGACCGTTAGGATTCGACGACGACGTTTGCACCGTCGTGAGTCAACCGACTTTGCGAATAAACGTCACTGAGTGATCATAGACAGCCTCCTTTACCTCCGCTTCCTTCTCCTGCTCTCCAGCATCCATTTCGCAATTCGAAATTTCAGCGCGATGTTAGCGAACCAACAGAATCCAAATACTCGCCGCTGAGCCAACTCGCTAGCTCTTCAGTTCAAGCATACCGGAAGTAATTCGTCGGACAAATTCGGTTGGATTTCCGAAAGGAATCCCTTTTGACTCGAAGTTACCGCTACGAAAGGATTCCGTTTCCGTCGACAGTGGACATTGATATCCAAGATCTTTCATCGCTCCGAAAACCGATTGTGATTGTCAATCGAGAAACAATATGAGAATAAAACGAAACGATATATGAGAGTAGGACGAATATCTTATTGATTTCTATAAAAATAAATCTAGATGAATACATAAATAGATCTGTTAGTTCGCTACATTTTTAGCGATTTGTGATATTTCGATAAAAATCAAATT